TTCATTTGTTTCCTGCTAGATCCTATTCAATTGGCCCCTTGGCCCCCAAATCAACTAAGGTTCCAGATGCTCCTAAGACATAGCGCTCCAACCCACTTGCTGTCTAGCACCAAGCACCCAACCAGTTCCTAGTCTCCTAGGCTCTTGGTGCATCTGCTTACCCTAAACTTGACACAGCTGTCCAATTCCCCCACAACAGACCCGTCCCTACCCTCCGTGGCGAGATCCTGACGATCCCGAAGCGGGAGAGCGCTGAGGCGGGGGACGTCTTCAGGCACCATGGCCCGGGCCTGACCCAGGGCCACAGCAGCATGGCGGCAGACGTGTTTGATGCGGGGGCCTTGCACAGGGGACTCGGGGCCCTGGTGGAGGAGAAACCAGGAATATGTGTGGGGAGTTGCCCCTTGTGCTCCGGCAACCAGCCTTCTTCAGAGGGCCCTCCTCCCAGTCCATACCGACGGTCTCTCTCTCTTCGTTTCCATCGATTCATCTTCAGACCTGACAGAACCTCTATCTGGGATCTGCTTGGCAGCCCCCACGACCTCCTCCATTTGCCCCCCAGGGCTGGGCTGGTGGGGGAATAAACAGGATCAGAGGCTGGGAAGTGAGGACAGACGGGGCCGGGGAGGGAGGCGCCGAGGAGTCCTGGGAGGCCGGGGCAGGGCTGCGGGACGCTCACCGGCATGGTGGACGCCACCTTCTGCTGCTGCTGCTGGTCAATCTTGAACAGCTGCACCTTGGCTCTCTTGAGAAGGCTGAACATCTTCTCTTCCACACCAGACAGTGGCAAGGAGCCCAGGCTTGTGATCCGGGCCCTTTCCTGGGGTGGCGACTGTGGCTGCTGTGGCGGCAGTGCCTGGGGTAGCAGCTGGGTGTGTAAGGCTTGCAGGGGCTGCTGAAGCTGAGCCTGAGGCTGCTGCTGCCCACTGTTTGGGGCTGGGGCCCCAGGAGGGGGCACCTCAGCCTTAACAGGAGTGACGACCACAGGGGCAAATCGAGGCAGGCTGAGGTGGTTGGTGCGGCCTGCTGCCCGTGGCTCAGGCTCAGCTGGAGAGTCATCGGTGGGAGGAGGCTCTGGCTCAGGGGTTTCAGGAGCCCCGAGAGGAGGAGTAGTAAGCACCGATTCGTAGATCTTCAGGTGGGCCTCACTTGGGGTAAACTGTGGGGCCCGAAGGAGCAGAGGCCTCCGGGATGGAGTGACAGGGATAGGGGGTGGGGCAGGCGGAGGGGCAGGTGGAGGTGGGGGCAGTTCCCGGGTCAGTGAGGTCCAGCGAAACGTGGGTTCCCTTAGGATAGATCGTCTCTTCTCAGGGAGTGGAATTGGGGTAGGAGGGGTTGGGGCACGTGGCGGAGAAGGGGCTGGTGCTGGTTCCTGAGGAGCAAGTGGGGAGGTGGCAACAGGAGGCCGCAGAGGTGAGACCTCTACCTTTGGGGGCTTGGGGGGGTCTTCATCCATAAATCGCCGGGGGGTCTTGATGACACGGGAGGAGCGGGCACTCACCACAGGCATAATAAACTGCCGGATATTCTTCAGAAAGGTGGTGCTTTTGGGGACCATGGTGGGGCTGTCTTCCAGAGGACCACCCATGGTGGTGCTGGGGGTTGGAGTGGGGGGAGAGGTGCCCTCTGGCACTGCCCGAGCAGCTTCCCGCTCTGCCCGCTGGCTGGGAGTCAGGGGAGGCCGGCCCCTCTTCCTGGAGCATGTAGTTGGGACCACGGGAGGAAGGGATTCTTCCTGCTCCTCTGGAGCAGGAGGGGGCGGAGGAGATGGTAGGGGCAGAGGGGACACTGGAGGTGGTGGAGGGCAGAGTGGGGGTGGAGGAGATGTTGAGGGGGGTGGGGGAGGTGAAGGGGTCAGAGGGGGTAGAGGGCCTGGAGGAGTCAGGGGTGGGGATGGCAGCTTTGTCTCTTCCTTTTCCTCAGCTAGCATCGTCTCTTCCTCGGCTACAGCTTTCTCCTGCTTCTCTTCATCCTCCTCCTCCTTGTCTTTCTCTTCTTCCTCTTCCTCCTCTCCCTCTTCCTCCAGCTTCTGTTCCTTCCTCCAGCAGGGGCCCTCTCCCTGTCCAGATCCAACTCTTCCTTGGGAAGCATCCTGCCAGCTTTCCTCATGTTGCTCTTGACCCTGACCTGATTCAAATCCCAAGGACAACTGTCCCATCTTCACTCTTTTGGCCTTTGAAACAAACTTGATCATGATAGGAAGACCGCCGCGGCCTCGGCCTCTGCCTCCACGGCCTCCTCGCCCAGACTGTCCTCCACGCTTGGGAGTCCCAGGTCCTGGGCCAGGCCCCTCCTTGCACTTCCAGCTGCCAGTTCGATGTTTTACTGGAACCACAGGAGGTGGGGGCTCGGATTTGGGGATTGTCACAGCTGCTTCTGCCACCACTATTGCTTGTTGCTTCTTCCTGCAGGGGCCTGCTGGCCTTCCCGGGGGCCGTCCCCGAGACCGACGGGGGGTAGAGGGTTCACATGCTCGGCTCCGGGGGGCTGGGGGTGCCTGGGCCCGCCGGAGAAGTTCTGTTAGTGCCTGCACCATCCGTTCTGTGCCCTCCTCACCCCGTTTCCGGGCAGGAGTCTTTGAGGGGGTAGGAGCCACATCTGCTAGGCGAGGAGGTGGAATGGGGGTCGTCTTATGCTTGCGGCCCCGACCTCGGGGGGCTCGACCTAAAAGGAGAATAGGCGTGGGGAGATGGGTCAAGCTAACCCTGAAAACTGAGAAAGGCACTCCGGGAGGGCAGGGACTGAGTCTTACTTGTCTGTTTCCCCCATAGCCCAGCCTAGCTCGGGCTTTGAACACAGAACACACTTGGTAACTGATGGAGACTCTAGTTGAACAGGGAAGAGCTGACACAAAAAGCAAGAATAACATTCCTGTAAAGCTATAGAGGTAGAGTTTCCCCATCACTCACCTCGCTGGGATCGGAGCGCAGAGCGCAGGGAACTGGGGGCCACATCTTCATCTGAATGAAAACCCTGAAACTCCTGATTTAGGGGACCAGGGGTGGAGGGGAGAAACAGCAGTCAGTGCCAAAGCCCTCGTTTCACCTGAGACTCAGGTATCGAGGGAATATCCCCAGTTTCCCCTCAATGTACCCCTGCCTATTCAAAAAAAACCCAAAAAGACTGTAAGGTGAGGGAAGTAGGAAACAGTCTCTTCCTTGGAATGGAAGCATGGGGTATTCTGAACCCCCATTCCCTATGCCAGACCACGTCAGCACAGCCATTGGTGGTTTGCTGGCGCACAAGAGAACAGAACAGGGTCTTCTCAGACCAGGAAGTAGGCACTAGTCTCAGATTCCCTCATACTCCCAACTAAGAAGAAATGGAACCTCTGTTTACATGCTCTGAGGCCATAGTTTCCTTCCTGAATTGAAGATGGGAATAGGGCACCCAAGTGGGGAGTGTGGGTGTCTATCAAAGAGTTTATCATATTAAGGTCCACCATGAGCCCTCAAGTGGCTACAAACTGTCCAAAGTAACAGCCCACACCTTCCTGCCTTTTCCATAGACTAGGGATGATAAATCCTGAGCTGAATTCAGACCTGCTAGAGTGCCGGGTCTCAGCCTTCTTTTTATTTCTCTTTCACCTGTGCCCCCAAGAGGACGCCTTCCACCATTCTACCCTCCACTTTAGGTCAGAAGAGGAACTGGAGCACTGGGGAAACCAGGGATGTATCAGGATTATGAGGCCGGGCGGGGCAGCCTACAGGTAAGATCCCAGAAAGCCATACCCTGGGTCCACTAACGCCACCCTGCTGCTGTCAACCCCCACGGGTTGGGCACGCAGTCCCCACAGCCTCCTCCGCCAAACCTCGACTGCCCTAGCTTTGCCAACCATCAAGAGGGATCAGCCCGGGACCTTTCAGCAGGACCCGCCTCAGGCCCCAGTGCCCGGCTGCAGCCCGGGCTTCCCTATCCACTTCAGAGGCTTCTTCCACCGACAGCTCTATGCAGCCCACCTCCCTCCATGCCCATGTCTAGGCTCCCTTCCCTCCCCAGGGGCCCTGAGGACTCCCGCTTCCCCACGCCACCCCTCCGGGCCACCTAGACCCCGGGAAGCACCCGGCCTCCGCCCCGCCCGGCGATGGGGACGCTTCCGACTGCCTCACCTCATCGTCGGATTCCCCGTCACTGCTCTCTTCCTGTGGCACGGAGCCCCGGCAGGGGCCCCAGCCCCGGCCCCGGCCCCGGCCCCGGCCCCGCTGAACGCGCGGGCCGGCCCACAGGCGGCGGAGACGGCGCAGGCCCCGGCGGAGCCCCAGCAAACGGAGCAGGGCCGTGTCCTCCCCGGGCTCGGCTCCACCCGGCCCCGCCGCGCTGCTGCCGCGCCGCAGAGCTACCCGCACTCTCTCGGCCCCGCTGCCCCGTCCGCCGCGGCCCCCGCCCCCGCCGGAGCCTCGCGGCCGGCCTGGGAAGCGGCCTCGCGCGGAGCCAGGCCCGGGGCAACTACCGCCGCCCGCCGCCGCCGCCATCTTGGCACCGTGAGAGGGGCCGGGGAGGCGGGGGGAGGGGCGGCCCGTGCGCAGGCCGGGGGGAGGGGAAGGAGAGGAGGGGCGGGGCGGCTGCGGCTCACGACAACAACCAGCGCCGCCGTGCGGCCGCGGGGAGTCTAGGGCTGGGCTGGCTGCGCGCGGGGCACCACGGGAGCGGGAGTCCGAAGACGGTCGGCGGTCACCCTCAGATCGCGCCTCTAGAGCACAAACCCCTACGAGCGGCCCGAGAAGGGTGAGGCGCAGGGGTATCAGGGAAATGTAGTCCATAGCCTGCTCCTTCCGCCGAGAGCTAAGGCCGCGAGAGCTGGGGCTATAGGGTCCCGACCGGACCCGAAGGCCACCTCTGGGGCCGCCGGGAGGTGTGGTTCTCGTCCCGGACTCCTCCTATTGTTCCTGTCTAGGCTAGTGGCTCATATGAACTACCACTCCCAGGGAGCAGTGACCTTTGGACCCTGGGAACCCCCTGAGATCCTGGGAAATGAAGTTGGCCACTTCAGGAGGCGTGGGCTGGGGAAGGGGCAGCGGCAGAGGGTTAGACTTAGTTCGAGGCACGACCTGGTAGCTCTTCCGCACAGCGTGGAGGGAAGGTGCCCAGGAGGCTGCAGCCTTTCGGCTCTTGTGCTCAAGGAGAAGAGACGGGTGGCCGAAAGAGGGGCAGGGCTCGCGTTCCTCTTGAGCCCTGGGCCACGGGGCCGGGACTCAGACCCCGTGCCCCTTTACTTGCTGTGATGAGGGGCGAGTGGCTTGGGTTCTCACAGCCTCCCACCACAACCAAGGCTGGACACCACTAAGTCAGCGTGGATACCGAGCCCTCACACCCTCCGGGGGAGGCCGGAGAGCCGCGGGAGACGCATGTGGCTGCCGCGCTGAACAGCAGAAGAATGGCCACTAGGGGCCGCTACAGGACAAGGGGCAAGGCTGTCCGCACCCCTGCTACCCCCAGCCCGCGCAGACTGAAATCTGGACTAGGCTTTCTTTCCTTAGAGGAGGGCACAGGAAACTTTATTTTGGTGATGAAATCGCCAGTCCCCGCGTAGTTAACTTTCTGTCGTGGAAAAGTCACTGCCCTCCCCACACGGGAACTGGCCCAGGCTTCTGCTGACCGCGGTCATCTGGGAGAGCGTTCTCGGCACCCTACCTGCGGCGCTTCTTGGAGCTTGAATTTGCTAGGCTGCTGTAGCCGTGCTGCGGGATCAGAAGCCTAGCCAACTCGTCGGCCCGTCTTCTTTCATTCTTTAATTTTACTCCTGGCTGAAGCCAAAGAAGCTACCGACACCCCATCAGGTGGTGGAGGAAGGGGGCCTATAGGGAGAGGTCGAGGCCCGAGAAGGCTCAGGGGAGGAGGAGTAGAGGAAGGTGGAACGAATGGTCCATCCTGGCGGGAGCTGGCTGGGCGAGTGGCCTCGCATGTGTGCCTGCATGGAGGCCAGGCTGGGGCAGCCGGCCTGGCACAGAGAGCAGCGGTAGGGTGCGGCCCCGTGCGTCCGCAGATGCTTGGCCATGGCAGAGAAGTCCCGGGAGCGCTGGGGACAGAGGCTACAGGAGAAGGGCTTCTCTCCTAGGGCGGGTGGAGGGGGAGGCCAGTGAAGTAAGGAAGGTGCAAAGGCTGGCCCAGGGGTAGATCGGGATGACTGGGCAATGGAATTGTGGTGGGAGCAAGGCACACAAAGAGCCAGGTATGCACTCAGGAGCAGGCCGACTAGAGTTTGGAAGGAAGCAGGACGATTCACTTTGTTCAGTGTGCCCATACCTGTGTGGACTCGGTAGTGCGTCTCCATCTGATGCTTGAGTGAAAACCTCTTTCCACAGACAGAGCAAGAGTAAGGCCGAGACCGAGCAGGAGCGGGTGGGGGAGGATGTTGGCAGGTTGAGCGGTCTGCTGTGCCCACATAACCCACACAGGTTGCAAGTGCACCTGTGGGGACAGAAGGCAAAGGAGGGCAGGGCTGGGAATCCCAGAGCTGGATCACTGGAACACCCAAGCAGAACATCAGGGACTGCAGTGGGGCTGAGGCAAAAACACCCTCACCTCACTCACCTGTGTGCCTCTGACAAGACTCTTCCATCTCCCCAGGGCTGAGCTGAGAAGGGCCCTGGGGGAGAGAACCTGGAGGGAGCAGAGTGAAGTAGGTTGCCTTGCTTTGGGGGGGGGAACTCCTGGAGCCCCAGCCCCAGCAGAGAGACCATGCTGTGCAGCGCAGTGAGGGGCTTACCTGGGGTGGGGCTGGGGGAGGCTAACTGGTTTTGGCTCCAGAGACCTTCATGGGGGTTCAGGGACAGTGGGATCCTGAAGGTGGGGTGGGAAAGAGTTAGCCTTGACAAAACCTAGGATCCTGGCCTTCCCCTTCCTGGGGAGGAGAGGTGTCATGAGTCTTCCTCAGGGGCTGGGCTTCGGCTTCCCCTGTGGTGGAAGCTTCTTGTTCTATCCCATGCTCAGGAAATGTAGAGATACGAGATGTGGTGCACCTCCCCCATCACCGGCGCTGTTGCCTCTCTTGCCCACTCCCTCCCAGCCAGGGAGGTTTTCCAATGGGCTCTTCACTCACCTCTGGTCCTGAGGCCAGACCTCCTGCCAGGCTCCCGGGGTGGGAGTGCTATGGGAGAAGGGAGTGCCGTATCTGGGCGGCAACAGCAGGATGCTCCACAGAGCAGGCTGGTCCTCCCCCAGCCAAGGGGCCTCAGCCCACCAGGGCCTGGGGATGATGCTGGTTTGGAGGGAACCTGGTGGGGGCAGGGGACCAGGGAACTCCCGCAGACTTTCTTCAGATCCCCCTGAACTCCCCCTCAACCACATAATTGCTTCTTGCTTCCCATCTGTTCCTCCATGGCCAACGGCAAATTGGTTGAGTTTCTCCCTTGATCTCGTCTGCTCCCCCTGATCCTCCCGCATTGCCTCTGCCATCTCAGGGTTCTCTCCTGGTGGCTTGTGCCCATGCACTGCCTCCCGTTCTCTCCTACCAGCTCTAACAGACTTCTCTGGCCTCTGGTTCTCTCCAAGGTCCCCGAGGCCTCTCTCAGAATCCCTTATGGGTTTCTCTGGCTCCTCCTGATGTTCTTTCAGTCCTGGACCCAGTTCTTCTCTAGCCCTGTGCCTTCGAGCCCTCCTGCATGCCTCTTCCAGGGACTGCACCCCCAGGGCCCTGGCTGCCTCCTCAAGGGGCCCCAGCTCCCCAGGCTGCAGCTCTATGCTTTCCCCATAAACAAAGTACAGAAGCTGGGCAAAGGTGGAAGGGCTGATGCCTTTCCCCAGAGTCCAGCGGCCTCTGCGGCCCATCTGCTGGCTCACACCTGCCAGCACCAGGCTGTGGGCAGGGAACTCCTGACTCCCCACAGTGATCAGGGTATCACAGAGTGCTGGCCGGAGCCTGGCTGCTAGCCGTACCAGCCGGTCAGAGCCGTAGGGGCTAGGCAGTCTTGTCGGGGACAGTGGCATTGTGCCTTGCCTGGTACCAGTCTCAGAGGTTCTGAGAAAGGGGCCACAGTGTGGGGTCCATGGTAGAAAGGGGAGGGAGGAACAGCATATTCTCAAGCCTGTGGAGGTGAGGGAAGAAAGAGTGAGTTGCTGGGTTTGGGTCATAGCTCTTTGTCCTGAATGGAACAAATAAACTAACCCAAGAGAGGACCTGAACTTAACCAGAATCATAATGGGGCTGGGGGGTGGGGTGGCAGGAGAATGGAAATTAGAGCAAATTCAGAACAAGGACCAGGCAGGTAACAACTATATCAAGTAGTGGACTTAAGACTAGTATAGATGGGTCCTGCCAGTTGGCAGTCTGACTTAAAAGATAGCAAACATTGATATTTCTGCTTTTCCAAGCCTCTCTGCAGGGAAAGACCTCTGGACAGGCCAGGCTTTCCTCAATAGAGCAAGATACGGCTTTGTGGGAGAGTTTAGAAAGCTAGTATCCTCTGCCCACAAGCCCCTCACATTGAGCTGAGGGTCCTGGGATGCAGAAAGGGCAGCAAGATGGGTCCTAGCTGTGGCCGCGAGAGCTGGGGCTATAGGGTCCCGACCGGACCCGAAGGCCACCTCTGGGGCCGCCGGGAGGTGTGGTTCTCGTCCCGGACTCCTCCTATTGTTCCTGTCTAGGCTAGTGGCTCATATGAACTACCACTCCCAGGGAGCAGTGACCTTTGGACCCTGGGAACCCCCTGAGATCCTGGGAAATGAAGTTGGCCACTTCAGGAGGCGTGGGCTGGGGAAGGGGCAGCGGCAGAGGGTTAGACTTAGTTCGAGGCACGACCTGGTAGCTCTTCCGCACAGCGTGGAGGGAAGGTGCCCAGGAGGCTGCAGCCTTTCGGCTCTTGTGCTCAAGGAGAAGAGACGGGTGGCCGAAAGAGGGGCAGGGCTCGCGTTCCTCTTGAGCCCTGGGCCACGGGGCCGGGACTCAGACCCCGTGCCCCTTTACTTGCTGTGATGAGGGGCGAGTGGCTTGGGTTCTCACAGCCTCCCACCACAACCAAGGCTGGACACCACTAAGTCAGCGTGGATACCGAGCCCTCACACCCTCCGGGGGAGGCCGGAGAGCCGCGGGAGACGCATGTGGCTGCCGCGCTGAACAGCAGAAGAATGGCCACTAGGGGCCGCTACAGGACAAGGGGCAAGGCTGTCCGCACCCCTGCTACCCCCAGCCCGCGCAGACTGAAATCTGGACTAGGCTTTCTTTCCTTAGAGGAGGGCACAGGAAACTTTATTTTGGTGATGAAATCGCCAGTCCCCGCGTAGTTAACTTTCTGTCGTGGAAAAGTCACTGCCCTCCCCACACGGGAACTGGCCCAGGCTTCTGCTGACCGCGGTCATCTGGGAGAGCGTTCTCGGCACCCTACCTGCGGCGCTTCTTGGAGCTTGAATTTGCTAGGCTGCTGTAGCCGTGCTGCGGGATCAGAAGCCTAGCCAACTCGTCGGCCCGTCTTCTTTCATTCTTTAATTTTACTCCTGGCTGAAGCCAAAGAAGCTACCGACACCCCATCAGGTGGTGGAGGAAGGGGGCCTATAGGGAGAGGTCGAGGCCCGAGAAGGCTCAGGGGAGGAGGAGTAGAGGAAGGTGGAACGAATGGTCCATCCTGGCGGGAGCTGGCTGGGCGAGTGGCCTCGCATGTGTGCCTGCATGGAGGCCAGGCTGGGGCAGCCGGCCTGGCACAGAGAGCAGCGGTAGGGTGCGGCCCCGTGCGTCCGCAGATGCTTGGCCATGGCAGAGAAGTCCCGGGAGCGCTGGGGACAGAGGCTACAGGAGAAGGGCTTCTCTCCTAGGGCGGGTGGAGGGGGAGGCCAGTGAAGTAAGGAAGGTGCAAAGGCTGGCCCAGGGGTAGATCGGGATGACTGGGCAATGGAATTGTGGTGGGAGCAAGGCACACAAAGAGCCAGGTATGCACTCAGGAGCAGGCCGACTAGAGTTTGGAAGGAAGCAGGACGATTCACTTTGTTCAGTGTGCCCATACCTGTGTGGACTCGGTAGTGCGTCTCCATCTGATGCTTGAGTGAAAACCTCTTTCCACAGACAGAGCAAGAGTAAGGCCGAGACCGAGCAGGAGCGGGTGGGGGAGGATGTTGGCAGGTTGAGCGGTCTGCTGTGCCCACATAACCCACACAGGTTGCAAGTGCACCTGTGGGGACAGAAGGCAAAGGAGGGCAGGGCTGGGAATCCCAGAGCTGGATCACTGGAACACCCAAGCAGAACATCAGGGACTGCAGTGGGGCTGAGGCAAAAACACCCTCACCTCACTCACCTGTGTGCCTCTGACAAGACTCTTCCATCTCCCCAGGGCTGAGCTGAGAAGGGCCCTGGGGGAGAGAACCTGGAGGGAGCAGAGTGAAGTAGGTTGCCTTGCTTTGGGGGGGGGAACTCCTGGAGCCCCAGCCCCAGCAGAGAGACCATGCTGTGCAGCGCAGTGAGGGGCTTACCTGGGGTGGGGCTGGGGGAGGCTAACTGGTTTTGGCTCCAGAGACCTTCATGGGGGTTCAGGGACAGTGGGATCCTGAAGGTGGGGTGGGAAAGAGTTAGCCTTGACAAAACCTAGGATCCTGGCCTTCCCCTTCCTGGGGAGGAGAGGTGTCATGAGTCTTCCTCAGGGGCTGGGCTTCGGCTTCCCCTGTGGTGGAAGCTTCTTGTTCTATCCCATGCTCAGGAAATGTAGAGATACGAGATGTGGTGCACCTCCCCCATCACCGGCGCTGTTGCCTCTCTTGCCCACTCCCTCCCAGCCAGGGAGGTTTTCCAATGGGCTCTTCACTCACCTCTGGTCCTGAGGCCAGACCTCCTGCCAGGCTCCCGGGGTGGGAGTGCTATGGGAGAAGGGAGTGCCGTATCTGGGCGGCAACAGCAGGATGCTCCACAGAGCAGGCTGGTCCTCCCCCAGCCAAGGGGCCTCAGCCCACCAGGGCCTGGGGATGATGCTGGTTTGGAGGGAACCTGGTGGGGGCAGGGGACCAGGGAACTCCCGCAGACTTTCTTCAGATCCCCCTGAACTCCCCCTCAACCACATAATTGCTTCTTGCTTCCCATCTGTTCCTCCATGGCCAACGGCAAATTGGTTGAGTTTCTCCCTTGATCTCGTCTGCTCCCCCTGATCCTCCCGCATTGCCTCTGCCATCTCAGGGTTCTCTCCTGGTGGCTTGTGCCCATGCACTGCCTCCCGTTCTCTCCTACCAGCTCTAACAGACTTCTCTGGCCTCTGGTTCTCTCCAAGGTCCCCGAGGCCTCTCTCAGAATCCCTTATGGGTTTCTCTGGCTCCTCCTGATGTTCTTTCAGTCCTGGACCCAGTTCTTCTCTAGCCCTGTGCCTTCGAGCCCTCCTGCATGCCTCTTCCAGGGACTGCACCCCCAGGGCCCTGGCTGCCTCCTCAAGGGGCCCCAGCTCCCCAGGCTGCAGCTCTATGCTTTCCCCATAAACAAAGTACAGAAGCTGGGCAAAGGTGGAAGGGCTGATGCCTTTCCCCAGAGTCCAGCGGCCTCTGCGGCCCATCTGCTGGCTCACACCTGCCAGCACCAGGCTGTGGGCAGGGAACTCCTGACTCCCCACAGTGATCAGGGTATCACAGAGTGCTGGCCGGAGCCTGGCTGCTAGCCGTACCAGCCGGTCAGAGCCGTAGGGGCTAGGCAGTCTTGTCGGGGACAGTGGCATTGTGCCTTGCCTGGTACCAGTCTCAGAGGTTCTGAGAAAGGGGCCACAGTGTGGGGTCCATGGTAGAAAGGGGAGGGAGGAACAGCATATTCTCAAGCCTGTGGAGGTGAGGGAAGAAAGAGTGAGTTGCTGGGTTTGGGTCATAGCTCTTTGTCCTGAATGGAACAAATAAACTAACCCAAGAGAGGACCTGAACTTAACCAGAATCATAATGGGGCTGGGGGGTGGGGTGGCAGGAGAATGGAAATTAGAGCAAATTCAGAAAAAGGACCAGGCAGGTAACAACTATATCAAGTAGTGGACTTAAGACTAGTATAGATGGGTCCTGCCAGTTGGCAGTCTGACTTGAAAGATAGCAAACATTGATATTTCTGCTTTTCCAAGCCTCTCTGCAGGGAAAGACCTCTGGACAGGCCAGGCTTTCCTCAATAGAGCAAGATACGGCTTTGTGGGAGAGTTTAGAAAGCTAGTATCCTCTGCCCACAAGCCCCTCACATTGAGCTGAGGGTCCTGGGATGCAGAAAGGGCAGCAAGATGGGTCCTAGCTGCAGGAGGGCAGCCTCTAAAGCAGCAATCGATTCTTTCCCTGGGGCTGAAATTTCTAGAACGCATCCTTTGAGAAGGAACTGGAAGAGACCAGAGACTCCCATTCAGTGATTTAAGAGAGCAAGTGAGAAGCCACAGGAGAGAAGGTTCCCAGCCCATGGATAGAGAGGGCTTTTGGAGAAGACTTTGACCCCTGAGGAGGCAGGAGAAAAGAAAACGGGAACTGTAGAGGGGGAAGCTATTTCCTCTCAATATTAGAATAAAGAGGTGGTTTAATTTTGTTTTTCGTAGGCCAAAAGCAAAGAACAGAAAGATAGAGCCCAACAAGGCAGAATTTTATCGCCCATCCAAACCACCACATGGGCTTTTAGGAAGAGAACTGGGAACCTAGAAACTAAGAGGCAGACCTAAATGTCTCAGCTCCCAGCAGGCATATATTCCTTGGTGTAAGGAGCCCTGTGGGAGGGAGGGTGCTGCCTGGCCATCTCAGGGAGAGGGCCACAGGTTGGCAGGAAGTGGACAGAAAGGGGAGGAAAGTCTCTATTGGGGAGAAGCAACCACTCACCAGTTGTAGCTTCCTCCTGGACACCACATGCTCTGAACTGCTGTTGGGGCTCCTGGGCCCCCCCTGGAGCTAGCCCCGCCCCTGACCTCACAGTCTTCCACTGGGTGTCCCAGTCTGCCAGAGTTCCCCAAGGGGGTGTGGTTTTATACCCCTGGCTGTGCTTCACAGGAGAGATCACCCCTTCTACTTCCAGAACTAAGACATTCTGCCTCCCAACCTGTCTCCTTATTAAATTTGCGAATTTCTAGAGTCAAAGAGTGTGTCTGAGGCGACAAGAACTTTGGAATAATCAGACCTGCATTTGAGTCATATCTCTGCCATTTACTAGTTGAGTCACCCCTGGGCAAGTTGCCTCTCTGAGCCTCAGTTACCTCATCTATGAAATAGGGCTAACCTTCGCTTACTTCATTTGGAAGCGAGGGTGTAGATAAGAGGACATGATGAATGGGAAAATGGTCTGGCAGGACAGAGCATCATTCAGATAGGATTAATTATGTTTCTGAGCGGTGTCAGTAGAGCTCCAGCATCTGGAAGCCATTTCTACTACCTCAGAAGCAAAACGGACTGAAACATCTGGATTCCAAGGAGAGTGGGGGAGGACTAAAAGCATGCCACCGCCTCCTCCCTTTTCCGGACTTGGTATGAGGAAGTCTTAATTGCTGTGTAGGAATGACCCCTGTCATCTGGGCCACCACTGGGGACTGGGTGTGTGGGTGACTCAGATCCTCCCCTCAAGCTCTGAAGGGGGCCACCCCAGGAAGGGCCTGTGGTGGTCTTCGAAGAGAAAAACTCCTTTTCTTGGGTTGATGACAAATGACATTTCTCTGAAATCAGGACTCTGGGGTTTCTTTCACTTCCTGCCCAAGGGGTCAAGGTCCTCAAGAGATTTCCCCTCTTTTCACACTGTAGCACTCTTTAACCTGAGGAAAGGATGAGGTCTGAGAGGCTCAAATTTCTTCTTCTGTTTCTTATTATTCCAAATATCTCAATCCTGTGCAAATTGTTCATTCAACCGGCATACTTACGATATGTGCCTGGCAGAACATATCTGTCCAAATAAATCACTGGAAGATAAACAAGTCAAGTCCTGGTCACTGCTCTGGTGACAGGACACAGTCTAGTTCCCCCTCGGTTTCTCCTGTAGATCTGGTCCCCTTCTAGACTCAAATATGTCTCAAAACTCTTGTTTCTTTATTTGGTTCCAGGACCCCAAAATTTGGTTCAGACCAGCCTTCTACTGTCTGCCTCCAGACCCAACATGATTTTCCTAGCTTGGGTACAGGCAGATGTTAACCCTTCCTAGGTTAGACAGGGTGTGTCAGTGGGTGGGGCTGGTCGAGGGGCAATAATAGGGTGGGGAGAGGGGAAGATGAGTCAGAATGAAAGGGAAAATGCAAATGGGCAAGCTGTATTCATTTGCTACTCTGAACCGTTAAATTTATTTTCCATTTCTGAGCTTTCTAACTCTTCATACCACCACACCCAGGGACTCATTAGATACCCATATAAAAGATACTTGGCTTGGACACACAAAATCACCAATCCCTGATAGGTAGGTTTACAAACATCCTTCTTCTGACACAGAAATACACAATCCCTGAAGATATGGAGTAAGTGGGGGAAAGCAATGAGGGTAAAACCGCAAGTGTAGAAGGAAAGATACAGGGGGTCTGGAAGAATATATCATCCTCCAGTGGAGCTTGGTCCCCATCACCTCCTAACCCTGTATCATGTGCCTGTGACTCAGCTCCCCCACTGGCATTTGCCCACTGACAGAGTTGGAGATTGTACTCAAAGGGCAGTATTCTCTGGAAGCTAAATGTAGTTGTCGGAGAGTGTCAATGGGCTTTCAGGAAACCTAAAAGGGAGGAGGAAGGGCAAGGGGACTCCCCATTCAGTGAACAAAAGCCCCCAAGAATGGGGAACCCCATCTTGCCTCCCACTTGGTGTCTACCCACCTAAGGATATCCCTTTCAAGACTGCCTCCTTAGAGGTATCTCTAGGGTCCTCTACACCTCAGCCCTTGGGCTGGTGACACTCTAGGTCCTCTCTCCCTACATCCTTGACTGCACAGCCCAGGCCATTGGGCACTGAGCAGTGACAGCAGAAGCAGAAGCAAATAGCCCTCTGATTTGGAGGGCTGGAGACACTGCTCTTTTCTCTCCTCCCCAGTCTCAGAAACCTTGTCCACCTTGCACCTCCCAGGCTGACTTGGTAGGAACCACCTGCAGCTATCTCCCTGTAGTGGAGCCAGGAAACCACCGGTTCTGCGGACACAAGCCTGCGTCCTGGGAGAGGGTGGAATGGGTAGGACAGATTGGGTAGGGCGTAACTGGAAGAGAAGTATGCAGGAAAAGGAGATATGATTTTGGCCTCTCTGTCTTTTCTAACACTCATATTACTAAGTAAGTTTGAAGTCTGATGTTTTTTATTCTTACTAATATGCTGGACCATAAGCCCTTCATAGCCCCTTCAGACACAACCCAGCTTGATGTACAAATGTTAACACAGCAATACAAGCATAGATTCTCTTTAAATATTACAATTAAAATCAAATCATCAGAATAGGCTAATTAGAAGGATGATTTGTTTATGAAGAATGTTCTCCCTTTATCTCACTTATTTTCAATATTGAGCACTCCCAAAGTCCAGTTAAACAAGATTATATTTAGAAAAATTCTATGAACTTTCCACTCTTCCCAGGAGCACATCTCTTTCTGTAAATTAATGTGTTTAAACTTCCCACAGCATTTTACATAGATTAAGACCCATTATCCAAATCTTACATAAACTTTCAAATGTTCACTCTTCTAGTTAAGCACATCAACACATAGTAGAGACACAACAGTGAATTAGTTTCTTTCTTTCCTTAAATCTATGTTCTACTTTACCCAAGAACCAGATATAGTCATAGTCAGATGAACTGAAGAGAGGTCATAGAGACCCTACCACAGTATATGTTTTGTGGATTGAGTGGAAAAAGAACTAGATTAGAAGTGAAAAAATGTAGGTTACACTGCATCTTCACAGTAGATGGCCTCTTTCTTCAGCCCCAACTCTTCTGAGGCCTTCAACTTCCTAACAGAGGCTGTTTTCAAGGCCAGTACTGAATACCGATATTGCCTTGAACCCAGTCAGAGGGTCCCACTCTGACCCCCTCTGTTTGTATCCCTCCCTGTGGGATGAGCACTTGGATGCCCTCCAGGGGCATCTAAGAAGTGCCCACCTGGAACCTGGGCCCCCAATTCTAGACTGTGCTCTGGGAACTTGGAACCCTGGATCTTCTGGCCCAAATGGTCTACCTCTAGGGTCTACATGGGCCTCAATCCATGAGAAAGGACTGTATGACGGATGTGCACATCCTAGGCCCTGATTGTGTGTGAGGGCATATTGACTGAGCTTGGACATGGAGGCTAGTACGCAAGACACCTTGACATGTGTGCCGACACCAGGTATAGGAAGAAAAGGGGGAATTCCATTTCTAGTCTTGCCTAGGCCCCATAAATAATATGGGTGCCTGCTTTACTTCAGTGCTTCTTAACTTCTCAGGGGGACACCATCCCTTTTAAAATTATAAGGTGTGGAATGAGATCTTTACATCAGGAAATTGTAAATGTGCATACCATTTTGCACATGAGTGACAAGGGATTCACAGACTGCTCAGAAGCCCATCCTTGAGCAGGTTAAATACTCCTTGCTTATCCTTGTGGTTGCTTTCCCCCTCCAAAATATACAACATGCATACAATTTTTCTTATGATTTCCAGATGCTCACAGACCCTTGAAATCCACTCATAGACCACCCCCTGTGTCCCCCACTCCTGGTTTAAGAACTCTGGATATACATGAAAGTACTGAAAGCTTTCATACCATGTAGAGCTTGAATTGCTGAATGAAATTAGATATCAACATCCTGCCCCATAAAATATAAGAATATCTTTGGTAAAGACAACCTGGGTGATTTTCCAAACAACGCAGACACCTCTTCCTGTGCTCCAGAGCAACATCCATCTTCCCCAGGCACCTGCTCCATGCTTACAGCCTGACATCTGGGAATGACTAGAAAGGGTTTGGGGAGAAGATGAGGACAGGGACTGAAAAGCCCTAGACACAATCCAATTCTGGTTCTGTCTAAAATCACCACAAGTCTATAATACTTCATAGAGGGCAAACAACCTGGCTGGGATTTGGAGACTCCCTCCCCAGAACCTCCAGAAGCCCACAGGCCTAACCTCCTGGCCATGTTATCCAACCTGGACTCCAAAATGGCAAATCTACCAAAAGCACTTCAACCTGGAGTCCAGAGACCCCCAAAAGCCTTGTAGCCACATGTTCCCAGCACCTAGACGCAAAGACGCTTGACAACTTCCCATTGGGCTTTCAACCTCATCACCACTCACTCTCAGTCCAGACTGGATCCAAAGACTCCAGGAAACTTTCATCTAGTTTCACTAGCATACTAGTTCCATCTCTTGGTTGTTGACTCCCAATAACCTCTGGAGAAGTCACAGGCCTTTTTTTCCAGTCACCAGATCCAGACTCAATCCAGAGACCCCAGGCAACCACTCAAAGTTCAGAGGCCATATCTCATGGCCAATGACCTGCCCCCAGAGCTCCAAGGATATCTAATCGCCACTCCATACATTTCCAATTCAGGCTGGCCTCAGGGACCATGGACCAACCCTTATGATATGCTGGCCTGGCCTTTGCCCAGCCTGGGCCCAAAGGTGCCCAGGAGGCCTCATTTTCAGCTTCTCCTGTTCAAGGAGAGGCCCCAGGGCAGAAAGCCCTCAGCCTTCATTTCCTGACCCTCATGGTGACCACTCCATACCCCAACTTGGCCAGGGTCAGGCTCAAGCCAGAAGACTAAGAAAAACCTTGGCACTCACCGATTCAGCCCCTGTTCCTTCCTCTCCCCACTCAGCCTCACATACACTCAAGGCAGCACAAGACTGAGAGGGGAGTAGCCGTAGGCCACATGCTCAGCTCGCTTTTGGCGCCCCAAACCTGAAGTGGACGCTGATTGGCAGCAGCGCTGGCTGCACCCCCTTTGGTTCCCTCCGGCTGACCACGCTCAACCACCTGGGTGGCACCTGGGACAGCTCCACTTCTCCCTAACACTCCTGCTGTGAAGGAGCCAGGCCTTGAGTCAGATTGGTCCGCGGACTTAGGCCTTTAGGGCTGAGATCTCATCCTCCAGTCCGCCGCCAAGGATTGGCTGGTGAGTTTGCCCTTTCCCACCCTCCCCAACAGCCTGGTCCCTGCACCCCTTTGGCCTAAATAGCCTTGGAGGCACCCCTGTCAAGTGCTCAGGGATACCATCATTTTCTTGCTTCTATCTTGCCACCCTGCGTAGCTCACGTTGCAAATCTTTTCATGTTTCTCTCAACCCCTTATAATCATGGGAGAATTGAGTGTGATTGCCTAGGAGGCCCTCAAGAGCCAGCCAGGTTTCAGGTGCCTGTGAACAGCTCCCGTCCCGCCTCTTGCCCTGCCCCTCCACTGTTTGGCTGCAGAACGACCCCTGACTCACCCGGAAGTATAGGAGGACAGAGAAGACACAAAAGGCGGCAGTGTCTTGACTTGTGATTGGCTTAGATATTCGCCCTTCAAATGCTTATTGACACCTCGACTGTCAGCTGAAGCAGGATTAACTGCGTATTTCAAGTACCAGCCTCCCACCACACCGTAGAGAGAACGGCCTATAGCCCTACCCCGCCATTAATTGGCCCAAGTTTAGAGTCCAGCCAGCGGGTTTTTTGCCTAGGCATGGCTTTGGTGCTGACAGGCTGGGAACTAGCACTGCTCGCGTCTGAAAACAAGCCCTGCCTCCCTTCCCACGGCCCGGGTGGTTGCACCGCTGATTGGCTGTCCCCACTCTCTTCTAAATGGCTTAGCCTTAGACCCACGCTCAGACACACCCAATGAGGTGTGAAGACGCTTTAAGGAAGGCGGGCATTGCTTCACCGCTTCCACTTGTGATTGGTCCTAAGGCTTACTTCTTCGCTTTTGATTGACCAGAGGGGCCGGGGAACTCAGTACCCCCGTTTCAAGGGGAGGTTAGGGCTCAGTCCCCGTACTTTGGCTCAACTCCCTGGGTCGACGGAGGGTGGTCTGACGCCTCCTTCCCTGCGGCTGGCTGAGACCTGGAGTCGGGTGGGGGCAAGAGGTCCCTCCCGAGAAGTACGTGATGTGGAGGAGCCTGGGAGCCGAAAGTCAGGTCGGAGTTCGCCTAAGGCGAGTGCCGGCCAGTGGGAGTAAAACCCTAGAAAGCCTTTGTGCGTCAGCTCACTGATTTCTTCTAAGTAACCGTATGAGGGAGCCGACTACTATGCAGGGTTAACCTCTGAGGGTCAGAGGTGAAGTCACTTGTCTCAGGTCCCACAGTGAGTAGGGGCATTGCTAGGACCCCAACCTTGTTCTTGTGAGAGAGCAGCATTCGAGCTACACTACAATTAAGTAGGGTTTATCTTGTAGATGTGGGATGGTCACATTGACCCTGGTTTACCTCATCTATAAATGAGGGTTTTTTATTTTGGATTTGAATCTGATCCTGAATCCTTCAGCACTCAGCACATATTTCCAAGTCCTCAAACTTCCGGGCAACTGCGTTTGCATCTTAGTAAAGAATATTTAAAAATCAGCCTCATAATTATTCAGCCATTAGAAGAAAACAAATCCTACCATTTGCAACAACATGGATGGAGCTAGAGGGTATTATGCTCAGTGAAATAAGCCAGGCGGAGAAAGACAAGTGTCAAATGATTTCACTCATCTGTGGAGTATAAGAACAAAGAAAAAACTGAAGGAACAAAACAGCAACTGACTCACAGAACCCAAGAATGGACTAACAGTTACCAAAGGGAAAGGAACTGGGGAAGTTGGGTGGCAAGGGATGGATAAGAGGGAAAAAGGGGTATTACAATTAGCATACGTAATGTAGCAGGGGGTGGGATAGGGGAAGGCAGTATAACACAGAGAAGACAAGTAGTGATTCTAAAACATCTTACTACACTGATGGACAGTGACTGTAATGGGGTATGTGGTGGGGACTTGATAATAGGGGAGTCTAGTAACCATAATATTGCTCATGTAATTGTACATTAATAATAGTAAAAAAAAAAGTCAGCCTCATGGTACCTTTGCCACTTACACTGAACCAGGCCAGTTTTAAGTACATGTATTGTCTGAATGGATTCTCATAACAATCTTTATCATGTGCAAATTGAGGCTGAGAGAAGAGATCGATTTCTTTAAGATCTCAGCAGGAATAAATGTCAGAGCCGGAATTTGAACTAGGCCTGTTGCAGTCAGACTCCAGAGCCTAAGTTCCTAACTATTTGTGTATACCTCCTCCCATCCTATCAGCTACAGGGGCCAGATTTTGGGCACCCATGGTCCTGGGGAATTCTTACAGCCACCCCAGGGATCAGAAATGATGACAACTACCAGTGAAGCAGACAAACAAGGGCACAGAGGTGAAGACACTCACTTCAGCTCTCATAGCTGCTCTGTGGCTGAGCAGGAGTAGAATGAATGACATAATCTTCTGATTCCAAACTCACATAATTAATCACTCTTCACAGTGCTCCCATTCTATTTGACAGATGAAGAAACTGAGGCCCTGAGGAAAAATCAGAGCTGGAATTCAGACCCGAGTCTATCAGATCCAAGAGATCACACCCTGAACCACATTACTTCTAGAGAGCATTTGTCTTACCAGATCCTGGGTTGGATCCGGTGAGGAGTCCTCTCACCCAGCAAGCCTTGTCTGCAAACAGAGTTCATCTGGTCTCAGCTTTGGCCCTCATGGTGGTTTGCAGGGTATTTGGCCTCAGAGCCTTTGGAGCTTCTCACGGAGAAGCTGTAATTGTAATTCCTGCAATTTATTGAGCCCTTTTATGAGCCAGACAAGACAGAAAAATTCTGAACGCGTCATCTCACTGAATCCCTATAGTAATTCTAGGATATAGGGATTGTTCTTGACTCCATTTTACAGGGAAGGAAACTGAGACCCAGGGAGGAATGTAACATTCTTGTATTTGCAGAGCTAGTAAATAGTGGAGTCTGGATGGGAACATAGAAAATCTCATTCCAGAGCCCTCGAATTTAGCTACCCAGCATGTGCAAACTTGAGAAGATAGAGGGAGGGATCCTGAGCTCTAGCAAGATGGAGTAGGGAGGTCTGAGAGGAACAGAGAAACAGTTATTGCTTATTGAGCAAGTACCCCATGACTGACCCCTGTGTTAACTAAGTTTTAACATATGTTGTGGAACAGCTTTGTGGTTAAGTAGCTAGACACTGGAAACTTCCTGGGTTCATATTCTGGTCCTACTACTTACTAGTTGTAAGACCT